GCTCTTTAATCTGAACTGGGCTTAATGCAGAGAGATGAAGAAGGGGCTTATTTACTTTGGAGACCCTAGTGTTCGTCACACTCACATTCCAGACAGCAGGAATGTTGTGTAATCTGGGGCCGCTGGTGGGCATCGTATATGAACGTCTGGTGTTAATATCAGATTTACAGTTCGTCTGGCTTCTGCTTGGAATAATGATTTCTTTTTACACTGTGGGCTTTTTACAAGCCTCCCCCGTCACTCTGGTTCATTTAGGTGACTATTTGCGAATAAGGAGGGAATACTTTGGAGTATTTATGATTTAAAAATGTTTTTGAAATAAGATTTTTCTACTCACCAAGGGTGCATTTATTTAAAGTTTAAGTTACAGTAAAAACTGCAACAATTGTGAAATAGTTGTACAATTTAAAATGAATGTTTTAATAATTATAAATGTAAACAGTAATTTATTCCTGTGATTTAAAGCTGCATTTTCTGCATCATTACATTCTGCCACATGCTTTTTCAGATATATGTATATGGACACTACCTGACCAAAGTCTTGTTGCTGATCCCAGTTGTAAGAGCAACAAATAATACCTTGACTTCTAGTTGATCATTTGGAAAAGTGGCAGAAGGTTTTTTTTTTCTGAGTCATCTGTTGAACTGCATCCCAATCATCATGAATACTGGAGAAGACCTACTGGAACCAGTTTGGACCCAAGATTCTCACTGAAATCAGTCAAGTGTGGTGAAGGACAAATCATGGTTTGGGGTTACATTCAGTATGGGGGCATTTGAGGGATCTGCAGAGTGGATGGCAGCATCAACAGCCTGAGGTATCAAGACATTTGTGCTACCAATTACATTACAAACCAAAGGAGAGGGCTAATTCTTCAGCAGGATAGTGCTCCGTCTCATACATCAGCCTCCACATCAAAGCTCCTGAAAGCAAAGAAGGTCAAGGCGCTCCAGGATTGGCCAGCTCAGTCGCCAGACATGAACATAAATATTTTATTTTTAACATTTTATTAATTTATTTTTAATTTAATAAACTTTTTTTTCTTTTCACTTTTTTTTCTTTTGTTATTTTTAATATTATTTTATTTTATTTTTTATTTCTGTGGCCAGTTTGTTGGAAGTATGCAATTTGATCATTTTCAGAATTGCAACTATTCTCTCTAATTTACTTTCAATAAATACCTATTTAGGGACATTTTCATTTTTTAAGAATTACCTCAAAAGTACATAAACAAGCTCACTTTACAACAAGTGCATAAATAAGATTTATTATAAATACAGTAATGAGAACTTTATTTATTTTTAATTTAGTGTACGATTAGATAACTGCATGTGTGAATATCTTCAATAAAAACACTTTCAAACAAATCCCGTTTTGGAGACCACAGTTATTTTATTACTTTATCATATATTTATTTCAATTACATTTTATTGGCTGTTTAAATCAGTCATGTGTCAGTCTTTGCTAAAGAGTCTTTAAGTATTTTATTAAGACTGATTTATTTATTTATTTTACACTGAATTGAACTAAACTGAACTTCAACTTTGAAAACTGGAAAGTTGGCCAACCCAGTCACCAGATATGAACATTATTGAGCATATCTGGGGTAAAATGAAGGAGGAGGCATTGAAGATGAATCCAAAGAATCTTGATGAACTCTGGGAGTCCTGCAAGAACGCTTTCTTTGCCATTCCAGATAACTTTATTAATGAGTGATTTGAGTCAGTGCAGAGATGTATGGATGCAGTTCTCCAAGCTCACGGTGGAGTCCTCTGATACACATAATAAAGAAGAAAGAGAGAGAAAAAAAAGTATATACACGATATAAACATATTGCAGAAAAAGACACAACATAGACACCATATCAAAGTTATTAACAATACACACACACACACACATTACAATTTTACTGTTTTTACTATAGAAATGTACTATAAAAACAGTCTGGTTTTACTAAAACCCAGCCTTTGTGTGCAGAAAGGGCTTCTTTCAACACACACACAAAGCAGTTGTTCAAAATAATGCTGTGAAAATGCTTCTGTATCTTTATTTTTCTCTCTGTGCAGACTGTGTGTTGTGGTTTAAAGTACGCCTGGAGTCTGTGATTTTCAGTGTGGTTTTGGACTGTATGTGATGAACGCTGAATGAAAAGTCTTGGTCTTGAGGTTTTGTGTTTGGATCAGAGTCTTTATTACACACAGAGACTCATTGTGTGTGGTCTGACACTGCAAACAGAGTCAATCCCACCTGTTAGTGCTGCTATATTAGTTAGTTAGCAGATCTGACAGCTGCGCCAGTACAGTAACCAGGGAGCCAGCAGCTCGTCAAAACAAGACTTCTACTTTACTTGATGTGATCATGATATTGGTTGAATCGTGTATGTATGTGACTTTGGCCTGAAGTGTCTCCTGGTGGATCATTCAGCTGTTAAAAGTGTCTTGCAAGCAGCTCTTATAGTAAATTAACAACCCTGATGAAAGGTGAAGTGTGACACAAAGACATTAAGATATAAATTCTATTTAGCATTATTAGCATTAAACTATATGGAGAAAAAAGTAATCAAATAACAAAGAAAACAACAAGCTTAATAAAACAAATAAATCAGCACCACTCCTGTTTGTTGTCTATTTGCACATTTTTCTGATTTATTTAATTTAATTTTAAGTTTTTGACTCTTCTAAAGCATAATAATACCATAGTATGTTTGAAGATCTTTAAGAAACATGCCAAGTAAACACTCTTGGTTATCTGGAAAGCAATGCTGAAGTCAGTTATTCTGCTTTGAAAATGCAAGTTACGTGCTGAAACGGTTGTTTTTGTTTTGGTCCCTATAACTCGTCCACTACCAGTTTAGCCTATTATTTTTCAGCATACCGAGTTGCCATGGTGGAAAACAAAGTATTTTGTTTATTCAGTCGTGAAGGCTCTCAAAGCACGCGTCCGTGACCTAAATGCGACCTCCGGTGGACAGAAGCAGACTCCAAATTAAGACAGATTCAGTTCCACATGAGGTTATTAATTAGCAAATAATATAAATATTACAATGTAAACATTAGGTGAGCAGGCTAAATTGTAACCCTGTGTACTAACAACATGCTACGTGATGAGATTTACAGTGATAAGAAATTTGGCTGTTTGCACTAGACGAAACACAACCAAAATTTAAACAGAGCCATTCAGAAGCACAGAATAGTGCACTCACTGCACTCCAACGAGATGGTAAGGTTTATAATCGAATTAATACATATTAAACCTCTTTAACATTATTAAATGTAGATGCTGAATCACTGATATGTGTTGGCTTGCGATGAGTCACAGCTCTAAAGTTCAATTCCAATTGGGTAATATTATTTTCAAGATTTGAGGTGAACTATCTGCTGCTGCTTTCAGGCGTGGCACCCAACCCTGCTCTTAAACCCAACCGTCATTGCGGGATTAGCAAATCGTACTAAACTGTACTAATGAGATCATAAGATTTCTTATGAATTAGTCACTAAATCAAAAAGTTATAGCACGAGATTTTTTTGTTGTTTAAAGGGAACAAAAGCAGTTTTTTTTAGAAATGGGTTGAAAAATTGTCTCTCGATTAATGAATAAAAACAAATATATAAACTTCACCTGTGTCTAAGTAAAATTTACAGATAAAATATAATAAATAAAAATATTTTATTTGCACATTTCCTTATATATCGATAGATGGATGGATGGATGGCTGGATAGAAAGATAGTGATGGATGGATGGATTGATAGATAACTAGATAGATGGATGGATAGATGGATGGATAGATAGATAGATAGATAGATAGATAGATAGATAGATAGATAGATAGATAGATAGATAGATAGATAGATAGATAGATAGATAGATAGATAGATAGATAGATGGATAGATAGATAGATAGATAGATAGATAGATAGATAGATAGATAGATAGATAGATGATGGATGGATGGATGGATGGATGGATGGATGGATGGATAGATGGATGGATGGATGGATGGATGGATGGATAGAAAATTCGTTATTTCGTTCATTCATTAAATTCAGCCTTTTTTTTTTTGTCCAATTGTCAAATTTGCCTCATTCGCACGTCAGATTCACTTCACAACAGACGCAGATTCACATAATGAGCAGGGCTTTTGTCTACCTGGTGACTGTAGTTTTGTTGCTAAATGGCTAACATGGTTTTTATTGAGAGAGTAGCTGTGCTTTATGTGCTTTAGGAAGGCTGAAAAACAGCGTAGATTTATTCGGCGCCATGTCCGAGTCCACCAGATCCATTCAGTGGTGCACCCAGCTCTGTGAGTTCACCTGGATGATGGAAGCTTTCAGCAGTGCTTCACACTGAGCCGAGCCCTGTTTGATGAGCGGTTTTCCGGTGTTGGCTTTGGGATTTCCTCTCGGGACACCAACAACTGGCACTACGTCAAAATCTTGCAACTAATAGAGCAAGCTTCTGACTGGTTAACGTGGCACAAATCTCTACTAAAGTTCAGATTTTCCAACTTGAGCGATTTGCATGTGTCATTTTACGTCATTCTATGCAGGATGTCTATTCTCGTCTTTGCATTGACTTAACATGTAAATCCCTCGCACTTGATGCTTCATACGCCTCTGGTATGAACGCAGCATTAAAGTTATTAGTTGAATCAAATGAACTGTTCTAGTCTTCTCAACTTATATCAATCACACCGTTTAATAATATTAAGTTAAACTTTAGTTTAAAATTGTGTTGAAACCTGACTAATTAAAATAAGTTAAAGCAGCATAAAATATTAGTTGTCTTAACTTTACGCCTTTAGATTTCTTGCAGTGTATAAATGTGTGTATCTGCGTCTGTTCCTCCCTTCACTCCTCATGTGTTGAATGGGGTTTTCTGTGTTCTGCTCACTGTGAGTCTTTCAGGAGTCTGATGTCACTGGAGTTTTCCAGTCAGAAACAGTGCAGGAGTGTGTTCAGATTGCCGCTATATAACGTTTTGCTCTGTTTTCTCCTGTAGTTTCGGGAAGAGGTCTGCCGGGAGTTTGCGTCGTGGATGCGAGTGCATCGTTCTGGAGCCGTCCGAGATGATTGTGGTGAGGAAACTTCATCTGAATTTATTCTCTCATTCATCACAGTGTGTAATTGCAGTTCTGTGCTGTAGTTTGGTGGTTTAGATTAACATTATAAAGGCCTTTGCTATTCCAGTGCTCACCAAAAAACCTGCCTCCATTTATCTACACTAGTTTAGCTGAGATTCAAGGCTTTTTTACAGCATTTTTCAGCTTTAATTATCATGTTGCTTTTTGTTTTAGACCGACTGCACATTGAAACGCTCTGCAAAACAAGTCTCTGTGTAATCAAACTTGATTATAGAGGGTTTTGTAAATGTTTTAACAATGCAAGTGCTGTAATTCAGTGTCATCTCCAGCTCTAAATATTAGCTTTAACTATTTTAATTAAAATAATTTCATGCCATTCAGTATTTGGGACTTAGTAAAGTGATTATTTGAACACTATTTATGACTTTTTGTGTATAATATCACAGAGAGCAGGAAAAAAAAAGTAGTATTTCAAATGAATCAGTTTTTCTTTTTATTTTGTTTTTGTGTTTTATTTTTGATTTAATTATTATTTTTTAATTTTATTATATACTTACATACTTTATTAAATGTATATTTTATATATATATATATATATATATATATATATATATATATATTTAGTTATTATATTTTTTAATTTAATGTAATTTGAATATTTTTATATAATTTACGTCTTATTCTATTTATTTATTTGATTATTTATTTATTTATTTATTAATTATATAATATATATTTTATAATCATAGTTTTTATAGTAGTATTTCCAATGGCACTATTCTATTTTGTTGTTTTGTTTTATATGATTTTATCCTTTGTTTTATTTTATTTCATATTTTAGTTTTTATTTAATTCCTTTGCTTTTTTTAAATAATTTTTTACAATTAAATTACATTTTATTTTTATTTTATTGTTTTGTTTTATTATTTTTCAATATTTTTTATTTTATTTATTAAAAAACATTTTATTTTTTATTTTATTTCATGCTAATTATTTTATTTATTTATTTTATTTTATTTTATTTTATTTTGACTTTTCACAATTAATAATATTTGTGTATATTCTTAACAACTATATTTGTAATAAGTTCAGCAATTTATTTTTGCCGAGCCTAGTTTTTGTGTCCTAGTATTGCATCGGTTGTGCCAGACTAATGTTGCATTTAGTTTTCAATTCTGTAATCATAAATGTCATATGAATGTTTCTGAACTCCTCCACATCCGTCTCTCTTTTGGTTTGAATTTGGCGTCTTGTTTACATTTTACCACAAGCTAATTTCATTCATTCAGCTTCTCTTAAATTACTCAACCCTCTGTGGTTATGCTTCAACACGGCCTCCATTTAATGCTCTCATCCTGCCAAAAAACTTAAATGATTATGTTTAGGTGCCCAAAACACTTCATCTTAATATATTCCATATTCACTTCATCATGATGTATGTTCACAAGTACAGTAAAAACCGTTCATATCTACATTTACAGCGTTGAAGTTGGTCACGCTTTTGAGCTGTAATAGGAATATTTCTACAATACATCTCAATAGTCTCCTGCTATATAGAGTGGGTATGGAAACTATTCAGAGCCCCTTAAATGTTCCACTCTTTGTTAAATTTCCTTTGCTAAAATCATTTAGGCTAATTTGTTTTCCTCATTAATGTACACACAGCACATAAAAACACAGAATTCTGGATGTTTATTAATAAAGAAAACTGAAATATCACATGGTCCTAAGTATTCAGACCCTTTGCTTAGTATTTAGTTGAAGAACTGCATGAGTCTTTTTGGGAAAGATTTTTCACAGCTGGATTTGGGGATCCTCTGCCGTTCCTCCCTGCAGATCCTCTCCAGTTCTGTCAGGTTGGATGATAAACATTGGTGGACAGCCATTTTTAGATCTCTTCAGAGATGCTCAATTGAGTTTAAGTCAGGGCTTTGGCTGGGCCATTTATGAACAGTCACAAATATTGTTGAACCACTCCTTCATTATTTTAGTTGTGTGCTTAGGGTTATTGCATAGACTTTAAAAGATTTGGATGGAGTATCCGTGACATCACCCAATGGGTTTCTGAAGAGCACAAATGAAGCAACAAGTGAGCATAGCTCACCGGCGCCGTTTTGTGCTGATTTTCACAAGGCAAAACAAACCCACAGATGCAGGGGAGAAAGACAGTGACTGTGTTTACCTGGACATAAGTAATTAAATTATTTGCCAAATTATTAATTTGTTGACTTTAACTGCAGTTTGACACATTCACTTTCATACAGGAACATTTCCTGCATGCCCCCCATGACAAACAATATATTGCAAGTGAGGAACTGCTGGAAGAGTGTAGTATTAATGGAATGTTTGATATCGCACACCGCATGGATGAAAAAAAAAAAAAAAAAAAACTCTGCATTTCTCAGTAACAGAAAGCCTTGTTTGTAAAGACTATCCTGTCACAAAATGCGGTGAAAATCCTACACGACAGTAGCAGTTCGATTCCGGTGTTTACATGTTTACACTCGGAGAGCAGCATTTACAGCGGATCTTTCAGTCCATAATATTGCAGTGATATTAACTTTCTGTAAACTTAGTAACTGAATCAGGGCCGGAGTGGGACTCCTTTTCAGCCCTGGAGTTTCAAGCCTCAGACCGGCCCACCTCAGTTCACAACTGACTATATTAAAATAAGGTGATTTCCAAATCAGTTTCTAATGACACTATCACGTCTTTTTTTGAGAAAACAGCTGCTTTAAAACTTCAAATGTTCAACAACCCTAACAGTATTATATGTCTTAACAATAAAAATAAAAATAAAAAAACATACTCAGACGAGGATCAAACCCGGGTCGGCGGCATCATAATCTTACGTGCTAACCACTGGACCACAACAGTTGTAAATTGAATGGTGACACATTTAAGTTATATCATCATTAACCTGCAGGCTGGTTTTATATAAAAAGAGCAGAGCTGTGGTAAAATAATGAATAAGAAGACTGTGGTCAAGTAAATAAATTAATTAATTTAAAAAGTGTGACTGAGAGCAACAGATTCTGGAGCTAGGGACACCGGCCCTCGTGGCCAAAAAACGGACCAGCCCACCAGGAATTCTCCTGGTCCTCCTTATTAGCCAATCTGGGCCTGAACTAAATCATTTTGACTAAGGTCTGTCTTTAAACACTGAAAAAATACTGCTGATGATTCGAACTAGCTTTGCCGCTGAATAAACATAAACAAAGACCATAGATCCCACACTTACCAAATCTGTAGAGACAGGACACACAACACAAACTGGAACCATGTCATTTTTTCAAAGTACATGAGCGGCAAATCAGGATTTCACCATTTGCAGATGTGAAAAGCTCTCGTGAAAAAAATGTTCCTTACACATGGCGTGCACTAATCCACACGCGAGTCCAGCTGCGCTCTCATAGCGGGAAATGAAAACAAAACCTTCGTTGCAGCACATTTTTAAACGCAACACTTACGACCCGTGTCCCCAAACAATTCTTCTTCTTCGTCTTGTTTTGGCAACACAATATGGCGTCTCTCTGCCGTCTGAACACTGCAACAGGTGAAACAGTGTTCGAAGTTATCATGCATATTCAGGGCTCGAAATTGCGACCATTTTGGTCAAAATAACGCAAAATCAACTAATTTTCTCTTTTTTGTGAAATATAAGTGTCCTAATAGTGTTTATAGCAGCGTGGGACACATGTGCGACTGTCAACATCTCAAATAATGTGTTTTGGTATTTCGTGACCCTTTAAAATGGTTTTAAAACTATTAAAAACTGCTTTTATTCTAGCCGAAATAAAACAAATAAGACTTTCTCCAGAAGAAAAAATACGATGGGAAATACTGTGAAAAACTCCTCGCTCTGTTAAACATTATTTGGGAAATATGTTTAAATAATTCACAGGTTGTCTAATAATTCTGGCTTAAACTGTACATGATGATGGTCTCTTTTTGGGCGATGTCCGCTGTCCTCGATGGCGAATTGTGTCCTCGTTGAGTAACTGGTGTGTTATTACTGGCCGCTGCTGCTCTGTAATTACGGCTGAAGCAGGATACAGATACTGCACTCTCACTCGCTCACACCGCCCAATATATTCCCAGTGCCGCTCGCTCGCTCGCTCGCTCGCTCACCGCCAGTTGCCATAGCAGCGGTTGGTACGGCAGCGAGAGATTTGATGTGTAATCCCAGCGGCAGAGTGGGTGTGAAATCCGAGGCTGCAGCAAAATAAAACACATGGATAATCATGTCACAGTTTATGGCGTAATGTCACAGCAGCCGGCCCTTCTTGTATGCAACTTGCAGCCATCGTGTGTGTGATGATGCCATCTTGGCTCAACTGTCATTTGTGTGAGTTTTGGTAAAGAGTGATTTGGGAAAATACATGTTTGGATTTGGGAAGATCTCTAGTTTTTATTTTATTTTATTTTTCATTTTATCCTTAATTTTTTTTCATTTTATTTTATTTTTAATTTAATTTTTAATTTCATTTTTAATTTTCATTTATTTATTTTCTTTTCTTTTTTCTTTTCTTTTAATTCATTTCCTATTTCATTTCATTTTATTTCATTTGCTTTTTTATTTCATCGTATGTTAAATTTTATTTGTTTTTATTTTAATTTGTTAAATAAAAATATATATTTTATTTTATTTTTCACTTTATCGTTCATTTTATCTTTAATTTTATTTCTTTTAAATTAATTTTATTTTTAAATTCATTTTTAATTTTCATTTTTTATATAAATTTTTATTTATTTAAATTTAATTTGAATTAGTTTTTTATTTCATTTAATTTTTATTTCATTTAATTTTTATTTCATTTTATTTAATATTTTTATTTAATAATTTAGGTTCAACAGAATCAAGAAACTCAATTAAGTGAAGGATGAATCAATGATGACAGAGTTGAAATCTTTGGTTCATGAATGCTTTTGATGATGAAAGCACGACTGCTGGTGATGCAATCATCAATATGTATCAACAAACTGCATCACCTGACTTGCTTTTTTTAATTAGTGAAAAGTAGTTTATATATTCAGATACACAAGACTGATTTTATCAATGAGCAACAGGATAGAGGGCAAAAGCAAAATGAGAAAATATTAATTATAAAAATTAACAAATGAACAAAAATATATGTTAATAAAATAGTGAGAATAAACAGTGATTAAACTTAAAAAAGCAAAAAAAAAAAAAAAAAAGTGTCACCTGACCTCCGGTCCAAATCCACTCTTGCATTTTTGTCATCAAAAGTAACAATACTACAATCAGACTCATTCGCAGGGTCACGAATTCGCACATACTTAAAGAACTGCTTAACCGGGCTGTGAATTAAAGCTTATAATATTATAAGTAATGATCAATTGCTTACACAGATCGTTTTGCTTCACAAGACCTTGGTTTGTCATTAGGAGCTCTAAGAAACCTGTCGCCTGTTTAAACGGGTGATCCAGAGTGCATTTTTAAGGCTTGGTTGTGTTTTTAAGATGCAAAGCAATGTGTGCTTATGCTTCACTTAAAAAAATCACGTTATTTTTTTAAATATCTTACTTTGATTATATACAGCTACTCAGCTAACATGAAAACGACTGTCATAGTTCCTAGTTCCTCCGAAAGGCCCGCCCTCAAGAGGCTCTGATTGGTCAGCTAACATAATGTTCTGTGATTAGCGAATCTCAGGCACCAGGAAGCGTCTCTGCTATAACAGTACAGCGCCTCTGGCCACACCCCTTCGCTTTGCTTGGTGTATGTGCTTAACCTAGAGGGTTTATGACATCATTAACCCTAATATATATATATTTTTTGTAGTCCCCAAACTTCATTCGCTGTAGGCTTTGCTAAGCTAACTGTCTCGCTTTGCATTGAACGTTGAGCGTCTTACATTAAAAGATGTTATGTTCAAACAGCTGCATTACACATCAACTAAAGTTTAAAATATGATATCGTAGTGGACCACCCCTTTAAAGTTCAACTGAAGAAAAAACTCCCCTACATCTAGGTCCCCTAAATAAGTTTTTTTGTGTGACCATATATAACAAAATTTTTTATTGCGATTAACTATATAATTGTCATTTTACGACCAATTTGACTCAATGAAACATAAAACAAGTGCATGAATCATAAAACAAGTGCATTCCTCCAATTAACACAATGTTTTATTCTTAATAATATTTCATTTAGTAAGTCATTTTAACAGTTTAATAACTAGGCATAGGAATTAGAATGTGAAAATGCATATCCTAAACAAAAAATAAATAATATTAATCATAAATGTTAACAAAACTGTACAAGGTAAAAAGAAATAGAAACAAGTAACATCTATTTTCAGTCATCAGGCACCCACATGAAAATATACTATAGTGTTGTACCATACTGACACTGACACCTCCAGTAGAGCTAGAGATGTTGCACAATAAGCTAAAATGTTGTTGGAATTGTTTTTAATATATGGTCAATATACACTAACTGGCCACTTTATTAGGTACCTCGGTCGAACAGCTCTTTAATGCATTTTTCTAATCAGCCAATCACATGGCAGCAACTCAATGCATTTAGCATGCAGACATAGTCAAGACGATCTGCTGCAGTTCAAACTGAGCATCAGAATGGGGAAGAAAGGTGATTTAAGTGACTTTGAATGTGACAGGGTGCCAGATGGGCTGGTCTGATTATTTCAGAAAATGCTGATGTACTGGGATTTTTACACACAACCATCTCTAGGTCCGAAATGGTCCGAAAACAAGAAAAATATCCAGCAGTTCTGTGGGTGCGAATGCCTTGTTTTTGCGTTTTGGTGGATGGGCTAGAGCAGCAGAAGACCACACCGGGTGCCACTGAAACTGAGGCTATGCTTCACACAGGCTCACCTAAATTAGACAATACAGGGTACAACAATAAGGATTTTTTTCTACTGAGCCGGTCGGGCCAGTGATTGAGATTTTTTTCTTGCCCTGCCAAAGTTTTCACTGGCCCCACCAGAAAAAAAAAAGAATAATTAAAAGCTATTTCTTAGCCACATATTTTAAATAATGTGGCAAAATAATCCCTTTGAATCTAGAATTTAAACATATTTAGAAATGTTAACAAATGTAAAGAAGCAGAATTCAAAATTTTATGCAAACGAAAGAGCAGTATGGAAAATGTGCTGGTATTTTATTGCAATTCTAAATGATTTTTGTAAATATGACTTGCCAAACTACCGACAACTTTTTTTTTTTTTTTTTCAGATTCTTAATTTTGTACCCATGTAATTGTCTGCTTCCAAGACTTTATAAACAGACGTTTCCTTTTAACCTCATAGTTTGATGTTTTTACCATGTTGTCATTTTTTCACTGTACTGGTTGCTACCAGGTTACAAAAAAATTAACGTGCTCATCGTTACTGGGTCATTGTCTACTGTCTGGAGCGTCTTTCACGCTGTCCCCGGGCCACCGGGCAGTCCTTATTTTTGAGCCCTGCAATAATAGATTGGGAAAACGTTGCCTGTTCTGGTGAGTCTCTATTTCTGCTTCAACATTCGAATGGTAGGGTCAGAATTTGGCATCAACAACATAAAATCATGGTTCCATCCCGCCTTGTATCAATGGTTCATGCTGGTGGTGTTGGTGTAATGGTGTGGGGTTTATTTTATTGGCACACTTTGGGCCCACTAGAATCAATTGAGCATTGTGTCAATGCCACAGCCTACCTGAGTACTATTGGTGACCATGTCAATCCATTTATGACCAAAGTGTACCCATCCCCTGATGGCTACTGTCAGCAGGATAACGCACCAATCAAAGCGTGCCCAGGCCCGTTTCCCGGATTATTTGAGAAGTGTGAGTGTGTTGAATCGGGCTCAGGCATGGTTCACTTGGCCGGCCCTGGCCCGGTTGGAAGAGGTGAGCCTGAGCGTGGTTCACTTGGGCTTTGTACGCTTGTGTGTGAGTCCAAAATGCGCCAAAACCCGAAACTGAAAGCGATACGTGACTTTTAAGGGACTGTTTCATATGGATTTATTAATCATTCTTACTGTTCAGTGAACACAAACTGCCGTAGCTTATTAAATACGCAAACCCCTCACTGCACGACAGCTGCGCGCCTTCAGCAAAACTCCTAATACCTTTAGCATGGGGACTTTAAGCGAGAGCGCATCTTACTGAACAGCGCAGCATCAGTGACGTAAGCGTGCCCAGGCCCAAATGTAATGTGAGTGCAGGCCGTCGGGGGAGACGGGAGGTAAGACAAGCATGCTTTGGCCCGGTTTAACGAAATTGTACATAGTTTTCTTGAACATGACAATGAGTTCACTGTACTCAAATGGCCTCCAAAGTCACCAGTCCTAATCCAATCAAGCACCTTTGGGGATGTGTTGGAACGGAAGAATCGCATCCTGGATGTGCAGCCAAAAGTCTGCAGCAACTGCATGATGCTATCATGTCAATATGGACCAAAATTGCTAAGGAATATTTCCAGTTTCTTGTTGAATCTATGTCGTGGAGGATTAAGGCAGTTCTGAAGACAAAAGGGGGTCCAACCTGGTACTAGTAAGATGTACCTAATAAAGTGGCCAGTTAGTGTATATTGCATCATTAATTGTTATTGAGGACATGTCCATGTGTTGTGCGATAAGTCTATATATTGATTATTGTGACAGGCCTGCCTGTATATTAGATTATTTGTGGGTGAGTAAATTAAATGTCATTTTGGGTGAACTATCCCTTTAATGGCCTCATCCTCCAAAAAAAAAAGCTCCAATAATTTTAATAAACCAATACCTCAATGCCTCATAAAATATGCATGTTCACGAGTATAGAAAACCACTTCCTGTCTATATTTACGCTCGATGACTGATCTGGGAAATGAATGGAGAGTGCATTCCTGCAAATCTCTGGATTAAGGCTGTAGAGTCAACATAACGTGCAGGATTCACATGCACTACATTTCTTTACTGTCTCTTTCTGCACCTCTCTTTGACGTAGGCGTTTGAGGCTCAGCCCACACACACATACACACACACACCCACTGCTATTTTTACACAGCGCCAGTCGAGAGGCGGGTGGGGGGGGTGAGGAGAAAGAGAGAGAGTCTGATTCCAATCTCTCCTCCGTTTGCAGGTGGACTATATGGATGAGAATGAGGAGTATTTCCAGCGGCAGGCATCGCACCGACAGTCACGCCGACGCTTTCGCAAGATCAACCAGAAGGGCGAGCGGCAGACCATCATCGACACCGTAGACCCCTATCCTGCTGGCAAGCCCCCCGTGGCGCGGGGATACCATACGGTCAGTGGTGTTTCAAAACTATACCTGTGCTGCTTGTCTGTTATGACTGACTCACCTGTCCGCATCTGCTTTCCTGTTTGTTGACGTGCTGCTCGGTGTTTCGTTAAGAGCTTGCTTTTGATTTGATGCATAGAGATAAAAGGTTAATCATAATCTGATACTGCAGTGTACATTATTCATTGGATTCTCTACATTGGTTTTAAGTAACTGGTTGCAAACAATTTATACGGGCTGATTTTAAATGAACGAATAACGTTAATTTATTTCAATTCAGTCCATGTAAATAGTTTGGAATCACTTACCTTTAAAAAAATGTAGTAAATCCAATGAATTTATTGTATTAATATATATAACAGTATAGGTATTAGTGTATGTACTGGATTTCCAATGATAAATGGTTTGTGTATTAAATAAACATGCTGTTAAAGGGATAGTTCACTCAAAAATTACACCTCTGTAATAATATATTCACCCTTAACTAGTTTGTAAAAAGAAGATACTTTGCAGAATGCTGACAACCGTTCACTTCCGTAGTATTATGTTTTCATTTAATTATGCTGTTGATACGAAAGTTCACCCAAAAATTCTGCAATCATTTATTCACACTTAACTATTTTTTTTTCTTCTTTTGAACACAAAAGAAGATACTTTAAAGACTGCTGGTAACCATTGACTTCCATAGTATACTGTATTTTTTTTCCCGTTTACAATGATAAATGGTTTGTCTATTAAATGCTGACAAGCATTCACTTCCGTAGTATTGTTTTTTCATTTAATTATGCTGTTGAAAGGATAGTTCACCCAAAAATTCTGCAATCATTTATTCACACTTAATTATTTTTAATAAGTATATAATAAGTTTTTAATAAGTTTCCCCATAGTATACTGTATTTATTTTCCCAGTTTACAATGATAAATGGTTTGTCTATTAAATAATTAAGCTGTTAAAGGGATAGTTTACTCAAAAATTACAATTCTGTTATCATTTATTTACTCTTAACTATTTAGTTTTTAACACAAAAGAGATACTTTGAAGGATGCCAGTAACCATTGACTTCCTTAGTATTTTTTTTTTCTAATTTGCAATGATAAATGGTTTGTTTATTAAATAATTATGCTTTGAAAATTATAGTTCATCCAAAAAAATCTGCAATCATGTATTCACCCTTAACTAGTTCTTTTCTGTTGAACACAAAGAGATACTTTGAAGAATGCTGGTAACCATTGACTTCCAAAGTATTTTTTTATTCCAATTTCCAATGATAAATGGTTTGCGTATTAAATAATCATGCTGTTAAAATCATAGTTCATCCAAAAATTCTGCAATGATTTATTCACCCTTAAATATTTTTTTACTTTTGAACAAAAAAGAGATGCTTTAAAAAATGCTGAAAACCATTTACTTCTATACTATTTAATTATATATTTTTTTCACGTTCCAATAATAGCTGCTTTGTGAATTAAATAGTTATGCGGTTAAAGAGGTAGTTCACTCAAAACTTACAATTCTGCAATCATTTATTTACTCATTACTACTTTATTTCTGTTGAACACAAAAGAGATGGTTTGAAGCATGCTGGTAACCATTGACTTCCATACAATTTTTTTTTTTCAATTTCCAATGATTGGAATGAATTTTTGTTCTGTTGAACACAAAAGAAGATTTTTGTGAAGAATCCTGGTCACAATTGACTTCCATAGTATTTGTTTTACTTATCATGCACGTCAATGGTTACACTGCATAAAATGCTTTTCTTATTTAAAGTTTTTGTCTTGTAATGTTCAACTTCATAAGTTTTATTTAAATTCAGCTTATATAAATAGTTTGGAACCAGTTACCTTAAAATAAATGAGTAAATACTATGAATATTTTTTCAGTGCAGCATTGATGTATTTTATGGTATAGGTATTACTATATGCTCTGGATTTTCAATGATGATGCTGTTTGTGTATTAAATAGTCATGCTGTTAAAGGGATAGTTTACTCAAAAAAAATATTCTGCTATCATTTATTCACCCTTGACTTGTTTCTAACTATTTTTATTTTGTTTTTGTTCTGTTGAATAAAGAAGATACTTGGAATGAATGCCGGTAACCATTGACTTCCATAGTATTTGTTTTTTCTTCTATGGACATCAATGGTTACACTGCAAAAAATGCTCTTCTTACTTTCTTAGTTTTTGTTTTTAGTCAAAATTCAATGGATAATGTTCAAATTCATTTGTTTGTTTAAATTCAGCCTATATAAATTGTTTGGAACCGGTAATTTTAAAATAAATGAGTAAATCCAATAAATATTTTTTTTCAGTGTAGTATTGATGTATTTTACAGTATAGCTATTAGTATATGTACTGGATTTGTAATAATAAATAGTTTGTTTATTAAATAATCATGCTGTTAAAGAGATAGTTTGCTTAAAAATTGCAATTCTGCAATAATTTAGTCACCCTTAACTAGTTTTTTTTTCTTTTCTGTTGAACACAAAAGAGATACTTTGAAGCATGCTGGTAACCATTGACTTCCATACAAATTTTTTTTTTCTTCGATTTTCAATGATTGGAATTAATTTTTGTTCTGTTGAACACAAAAGAAGATTTTTTTTGAAGAATGCTGGTAACAATTGACTTTCTTTAGTTTTAGTTTTTCTTACTATGCAGAGATAGTTTACTCAAAAAATTAATTCTGCTATCATTTATTCACCCTTGACTTGTTGCTAACAAGTTTTATTTTGTTTTTGTTCTGTTGAATACAAAAGAAGATACTTGAAATAAATGCTAATAAATGATGAATATCTGGGTTTACTATCCCTTTAAGTAATGAAGCTGGAATTCATAGTTTGTTAATATAAATCTTAAAGGGGTAGTTCACCCAAAAATGGGAATTGGCTCATTATTTTCCATAAAGAAGCCATTTTAATGACATATTAGTAACTATGGCAGTCAGTGAGTACCAGTTAGCAACATTTTTCTAAATATCTTCACATACACGTTTGGAAAAACCTGCGGTTGAGTTAAGGGTGAATTAATTCTCAATATTGGGTGAACTGTCCTTTTGGAAATGTCATCAGCACATAAACGTTTCACATTAAATGTGATGACTTTATTATATCCTAATATTTCTTGTCTATATTATATGTGAATAATGCAAGAGAATAATACAACAACCTTTGTACTGCCCAAATTACAAGTGTTTTGATTTAAGCTAATATTGGATCCTATTATAAATTTTGTTCATCATTCTTTTAACCCTAACTGATGTAGCGTGTTAAACAGCCATTTCAGCAGATATATCCCTTTGCCATATTGCAGGAGGCCAATGCCAACATTCATTGTGCTCAAACTGTGAAAGATGGCTTCATTTTCACTTATGAATTGAACATCAATCGATCATCTTCAGCTTTGATTACGGTGTTGATTTGTCATGGAATTGCTTCAACAACCTTATATGAAGTTTATTTCCACCAAGAGTTGCGCTGTGGTTGTTTAATGGTTGTTTAAGAAATGAAACCATTTCAGATGAGGTTAAAAGACTAGTTGGCAAACATATTAAATTCAGAAACATAATCACTGTCATTAACATCCGATCATAGACCATTAAAGTCTGGGGAAAAGAATTGTGACACTGTGACAAAGTTCCAATGTGAAGCAATTTTGGCATCTGCACCAAGTGTGTAATAGTCAAGTGATTTTGCTGCCGTACCATGGCTATAGCAGCCGCAATATTATGCAGATTCTAGCTTGTGGTGCAGGTGTAGGGCTTGGATGCTGAGGACTATTTTTAGTTGCTGCTTAATATTATTGTGCCTGCTGCAGCCATGGTACGGCAGCAAAGTTCTGTGATTAGTTCCATAACCATATCAGCCTAGAAAATAGCCACTTTTCATTTTTCATCAGTCTCAATACATGATGTAACGAGTCAAGCTTTAAAGGGCCATGAAACACCCTCGTTTCAGCAGGGTGTTTTCACACCTCTACTTCGGAAAAAGTCAGAAAAGCGGGCGTGTCCAGCTGTGTTTAGGGGGGAGTGTCGGAGGAACTAAAGTGGGATGGTGTGGGAGTGTCTATTTGGGCACGCGCGAGTTTCAGTCAAAATACTCACACGAGAAAGTGATGGTGTATTTTTTACAGTCATTGTGTTTAACCTACATGGACATCTGTAGTTGAATTATTTGCCAGATTATTAAATGTTGGACTTTAACTGCAGTTTGGCTCTTTCATTCAGGGAATTCATTCATGCCCCTCGCGACAAACGCGATATTTGATTCGAGGATCTGCTCTAAGCGTGTATTTTTCATGCAATGTTTGATACCGCACGGCGAATGAGAGAAAAAAAAGCTCCGCAATTCCCGGAAACTTAGATGCACACGGCAGGTAGCGTCAGAAAGCCGCGTGTGTTATTCCGGTCACAAAATGCGGTGCTAACAAGTTTGCACTCAGTGCAATAGTTAACTTAATTCGATACGAACAAACTGAATAAACAAAGAGCACTGGTCGCTCACTTACCAAATCTGTAGAGACAGGACAATCACCAGCAACTAGAGCCGCGTCTTTATGAAGAGAATACTACAAGCAAATCCGGATTTCAGCGTTTGCAGATGAGAACAGCTCTCAGGTAAACAATAATCCTCCTTGGACACGTAAGTTATTGTTGTCGCGCGTCGCGTACACTGTTAATCCACACGTGACTCCAGCTGCGCTCTCACAGAGAGAAAATGAAAACGAAACTTAGTGGCAGCAAACTATAAAAGCAACACTCCACGCTTGTTTTGCCAACACAACGTGGCGTCTCTGGTGTAAACAGTGACACTAATGAATATTAATGAAGTTGCAGAATAGAGCGCGCTGATTGGTTTGAACCAAGCCTTACTCATGCATTAATGCATCACACTGTAAGACGTAATAAGACTCACTCTGGCACAGACGCCCAGTCTGCACGCTGGAATACACGCTATTATGTCATGACCGTGACGCAGATTCAAAAATTCGTTTCAAACAGAAAGT